TCGCGTCCCCGCGCGTGCGCAGGGCGCGAACCGCGCGCACCGGCGGAGCCACAACAGAGTGGGGAGGGAGGGGCGGGGAGAGAGGAGAGGGAATGGGATAGGGACGGGAATAGGGATAGAGGGACAGGGACAGAGGGGAAGGGACAAGGATAGAAGAAGATGTAGAACCTTCAGCTCACCCCGTTCCCCGCTCGGCCGCCCGCCCCTCCCCAGGACAAGCTGCTGTGCCCCCGTGCCAGTCCTTGCGTCCCAGAACGGGATGTCCGGCCTGAGAGACCTTAAAAAGCAAAATGTGACTGCGGGGATAACGTTTTCTGGCGGACGAGCAGTGTTCGGGTCGGCAGCTAAAGGGGGAACGGGACGGGAGTGTGGGGCACTGGCACACAGGACCCGCTCGAGGGATGCCATCCCACTGCTGAGGGATGGCAGCACAGAACCAGCCACGACGACAGTCAACATTTAGGGCACGTTCTAGCAAGCAGCTTGCTGACGGAGTGCTGGGGACAAGAACTCTGGTGCAAACACACTCCCATTCCTGCACTGACTGAACACTGGTTATTTCATTTAACCCGCACCAAAACACTGAGTTGAAACTCACCTTAAGTCATTAGTCAGTATTTAAAACACCACTGTGCTCCAGATGAGCCTGGATGCCAATTTTAATAACTAATTAAGTTCATCTCAAAACTAATTAAAGACACTAATATACACCCAAACCAACTTACACCAACGATACTCTAATTAAAACTACTTTGAAATATAATGTGGTGGGAGTCCAAAACAATGTACCCAACTTTTACATTAAACTCCTCAGACATATTCTTTCCAAGCATAACACAACTTACATTAAAATCCCGTGAAGATCCATGGCGAAATATTCTCAGCCTGCCAAAATTAGGAATAAAGACTAAACTGAAATTTTCTATTAACCTCACAATGAAATAAATTAGTTTATAAGAGCCTTATTGGAGTTAGCAGTATTTGTCAAGGTAACATGAAACATTTACAGCATTTGCTTAATGTTGGCGCACAACTTGATCACGTGAAAGCAAGAAACTACTTTCACTCTTTCTCTCAAGATAATGTCTAGGTTGTTTTCCGTAGTATACTTGGTGTCTGGATTAAAAATACCAGAGGGGGTGTTTAATTATCAATCAACAAAATAGCTTGGCTGTATGGGGAGACTTTTAAAATCTAAACTCTACTCAAGACCTGTAAAGACAAATCAGTCAATCCTGCAGATACTGGTAAGTATGAAAATGTTTCAATGTTGAATCTGTGTAACTTCTCACATGGCCTATACAAAGGTATTTTGTAATAACAGACCCAACAAAAGCCATTTTCTAAATTGAGAATGTTTCCTTTGTAACCTCTGGTTATACCAGAGCAAATCTTCTGTGAGTTTGGTCACCAACTAAAACTGATTAAACTAGTGAAGTAGGATTTCTCTATGTGTCAGTTGTTAATTCATTGACATTCCACTGGCCGACTTGCTTTAATGCAGAGAGCCTATTTCTCACCATTATCAATTACTCACTTGTTGATCAGAACAAAAGTAGTGATCCCTGTTAGCCTGACTTCCTGCAAAGAAGTAACATTACCTGCGAGAGGTGAGGGTTATCATGTCACCCTCCCCACAGCACTGAGAGGCCAACAGGAAAAGTTCAGAAATTTGTTTCAACCTGCCCACCAGTCAAAAACTGACTTATGTATCTACAGTGCTGCTACGATGGGTCACAGATTTT